TGGTAAATTCACTAGATCAATAGTTTGACAATTAGCACAGCTCAAGAAAAGAGCTGGTTCTCTCACAGGCAATGTATTATCTGCCTTGGAGCTTATGAGCCAAACCACCAATCTGAGCTGAGTTTCATGAACCTTTCCCTTGCAGCAATTCACTCTAACCAAGAACCCTGCCAAGAAAATTGCACATTCAGTTGGTAGCACAGAATTCTAAAAGAAAAATATTGTTAAAGCTATATTCACTTATCCTTGATATTGAAAGGTTTTAGCTTGTTCTTTACCAAAGGAGAAAGTAGTTATAGCATATTTATCTAGAGCTTCACCTCAATTCACAATGCTCCTGTTCCTGGAAAGAGGTCATACTTGTAACTCCCTTTCTTTTCTGGTTTGCTTTGTAGATAATGAAAACATATCAACTGTGAAACAACATGCAGTTTTAGTTTGTTGACATAGAAAGACAAGGTTAACCTCCACTTTTGTAGTCCTACAATTAGGATTTTTTCATTATCAAATTTGTACATGCTAATGGCAAACACCCATTGGGCATTTCAGATATTGTTACCAACAGAGCTGAGATTTGTGTCATTCTTTGATTGGTTTCTGTATCTGATGGTTAAAAATTTAACTTACTTAGAGATGCATTGAAAAAGGCTTACTGGTTTCAAAACTTAAGCTCAGCAAGTAAAATTATCTCTTAAAATACTCATTGGAAACAAAATCCACATTGTAAAAATAAGAATGTTTGGAAAGTATGTGTGAAGGATTTTAAAAGAAATTTCAATAGTGTGATGTGAATGCCTGGAGACTGTGACTTGCAATGGGTTTACCATGCTTGCTTTCCCATTTCAAGCCAGAGAGGGTTTATATATACAAAGTACAAATTTGTGCCTTTACTGGAAGAGCTGTCAAGTGAAAGGATTACACAAATCGTTGTCAGGTCATCTGTGTTACTAGCACAACTTCTAACTCTAAGTCTGTCATTAAAACTTTTTCCACTAAACTAAGAGGTCTCCTCCCTCATTGTTCACCATTATTTCCCTGTTAAAAGCACAAAATAAGGATTTGGGAAAACTTAAAAAACCAATACTTTTTGTAAGCAGAAACTTGCATGATTAGATATTGTGGTGCAATACGTTTCTTCAGCTAGAACTCATCTAAAATTCAAATACTTTATTTCCTTCATATACTTAATGAATGAAGTTCATGCTAAAAAAAAAATTACAATAAAATATTTTATTATTCATCCCAAAAGAAGGCAATAATTTCTATACTACATTCATGAGCCCACATTCCTATCAAACATTAGCAGAGCAAGAGAGCTCCTTGGCAAACATGCCAAGAGCCATAGCAGCAGTTCTGCTACCAGAACCACTGGAGCAGCAGACATTTCTTTCTCCCTGATTTTCCCCCTCTTTCAAATGCTACAGTAAAATCAGTTTGCAACAACTTGAAAATCTGCATTATTTCCCAGGAGACTGGGAGAACCCCACAAAACAATGATTCAGGTACAAAACCAATAGCTATATTTTTCTGAAAAAGATCAGACATCACAAGGGAGATTTAGGTAAGGAGTGCCATTAAAGAAAACTGAAAAAGCTGTTCCCAACCTCTCTGTTTAGAAACAGCAGAAGAGGAGAGATAAAGACAATATCAATATATCAGGAGATTTGCTTCTGTTCAATCTACAGACTCTTTGTTGTTGTATTTAGACACTGTGTTCTATTTAATGACAGTGCATGTTGCAACAGGTGAAAACAAAGATATTTTCTGTGCATTTATGCAGTCTCTATCCATTTTAGTTGTCAGTGCCTCAATCTCACACATTAAACATACCTTTTCTGAGGACGAAGTTTGTACTGCAGGCTGCATTCTTTTTATTCAAAGTTGTTATCTTTTTATTCAAAGTTGTTACTATTTACAAGTGTGCTAATGAAACGTTGAGGATTTTCTCTTTGACGTCCAAGTCTGTATATTTTCATAAACCAAGTCAGAGATATTTTAGTGCATAACAACATCTAAATGCAAAATGCCTTACAAACATATTGAGTCAGAGAACTGGACAGGAAAACAATACTGAAGATCAATTTCAGATGAAGCTCTTGTTGCTAGAGTTGAGTTCTGAAATTCATGGCAAAGATGCCTTTCTTTCAAAAAGGGAAAGAGTCAAGGCTTTGATTTCTAATTGTTCTGAAATACCTCCTGGCAAAAAAAAAAAAAATAGGAAAACTAAAAAGTGTAATATATCATCTTATTACAATACTCAGACTTTGGAAGAGACATTCTCAGAACTCTTTTCGTCAAAAATAGTATTTAATTTGAAAAGTAGCAGAAGTTCTCATTAAAATGCAGGCAGAAAAAATCTAACAAAATATTAAAAATTAGCTTAATTTTAACATTAATATTGCACTTTCAAATTCACAAAAATCAAGGTTTTCAAAGCTTTATATTACATTTATCTAAAAAAAAAAAAGAGAGAAATTAGACAAATTGTGATGAAAATAATATAAAGAAATAAGAGTATATGCTTTATTCAAATCTGAATAGCAGACAAGATTTTCCTAAATAGACTGATTATATTAATAGCTCTTTGAATAATAGCTGTATGAATAGGGTTGCATAAAATCAGGTTTAACTGAAGCATAATTTGGCATATTAAAGGTGTCACAAAGGATGTATCTGTAATTTGCAAAATTTGTTCCTTTAAAAGTGTAAAATATTCATCGCTCATCATATTTTTTAAATTATGAGCTCAGAACTTTATGAACACCAGATTTCATTAAATCCCCTTGTTGCATCTAAAGACTACCTAAAGACTCTGCAAAAATAGAAAAAAATAGAGCTGTGTTTTCCACTGTCTTGAACAGTAAGTCTGGAAGCAAAGGCACAAATTGCAGCTGTCTGCCAGCTCTCTGCTGGCTCTGCACCAAATTGTAAAAGCAAGGAATCAGCCACTTTAGAACAGCATTTGGGCTGAGTTGCTGTTCTGGGCCATTCCACCTCAGATTTGGAGTGGACTATTCACCAACATTCACCTGCATGTATAGCACACACTACAAGATGTTCATAGTCCCACTCTGATCAGCACTTAAATAGAGCTGATGTCGTAGGATTAGTTTGTCTAACTAACCTGGGAGACTTTTGTAGTGACATTTAATGACATTTTCACTGTACAAAGCATTACTGTCATTATTGACTAGGTTTTAAAGGCTGTATTTTGTTAGTAAAACAACATTAATTTGCCACACAAATCATTAGAAAGAGGGAGAAGTATTTCTCATGCTTTATAAGGCAGTGTGAATTTCATGGGACAATTTATTCATATATGGCTGGAAAATGCAAATAATCTACCAAATTAGGCAGTTGTACCTGTCTTATGTGCTGGAAATATGCTTTAAGAACGCAGAAAAAGTAGGATATATTGACATGCTTTACTGCAGTAAATGCTAGTAAAATTGCAATCACTATTTAAATCTTAGGCCTGAAATAAACTCCACAAAAATAGGCCACTGTGACAAGAGGCAGCTCTCTGTAAATTATAGTTTCAGAGATTATTTTTATCTTACTATTTTATCAGTGTAATGAGACAAATTATCCCCTGAGTACAAATTGATGGAACAACATTAATTTCTCAAAATAAAATGAATGGTCAAAACACAAGGGGTTATCTTCTACAGGCAGCATTTTGTGCATTATCCATAGTACTTTTTCTCTTCTCTTAAAGGAATTCCTAATTTTAATGTATTTTATAACCAGTGGCATGTTGGTAACTAACAGTAGTGTACATAAACACTTCCACAAAATTTGACATTTGAGTTTTATGATTTGAAACCAAAAAGGAATTCTTGGCATTTCCTTTTTGCTTTTCACCTAGAAGGTTAAAGAACAAATTATATGGCCCACAACACTTTAACCCCTCATTACCATGAGTAAATCAGCTAAAGCAGCCCTGCACAAGACAGAGAATGTGCTCAACTGCAACAGAAAATTGTGGGCTCAGACTCGCAATTATTGAAAATGAAGAAATGCTCAAACTTCTTTTGCAAAGCAATACATCCATGAGGGCCCAAATGAGCAATGGGATTTACAAAATTTTACCATCTCCTTGGAGTTTCTTCAATTTTATTTTTAAGTTTTATAGAAATTTCCTGGAGTTTAGAATCCTTCCTCAGGACCTAATAATGAGAACAAGAACCTGTTCTCTCAATGATACTTCAAAGTGTCATGGTTTTAGACAAAAAAATCCACTGACATAGAACATGTAAAGTTATTGGCATAATCTTTATTTTAAAGAGATCTCTGCAATTCAGTGAAAGACATTTTCTTCAGGTAGTGATTTAGAAAAAACTTTTGTAGCAATTATTACTTTATATTCTTATGCAAATATAAAAATACTAAAAAGATATGACACCTTCCCAGGTCAGAACCCACAGTCCCATTCAATTTCATTTCAATAATCTCAGATTTATAAGTAAAAAATTAGTAGTCAAAATAAACATTTATGTACAATATAATTGGAAAACCTATCATCTAAGATTAGTTTAACATATTTTTCAGGGTCTAGGCATGCATTGTCATCCAAACTACAGTTCTTTGTGACTTTACAATAATATTTTTTGGGTCTGAACACCTTCAATATCTCTCCTGTGTTGCCATGTTGAAAAAACACACAGACAAGATGGGAACTCCATGGGATCTCAATAAATCATTTAGCATATGCAAAGATCTATTAAGCACTTAGACATACACTGTAGTCTCCAGTGCAGTCTCCACATAGTATTCAAATGCATTAATATTAATCAAAATTAACATCTATTTCTTTCTGTGCAGTTCCTATTGCAATATTATGGCATCTGAATAAAGCAGCAGCTTCCTGGTTTAAGCATTTCCACTCTATTTACCTCAGTAATAACCCAGACAGAGCATATTATGACTCAAATGCAAGCAAGTCTTTCTTATCCAAAGATCTTAGTTTTCATGTTTCAGAGGAATATTTTTTTCCCTGATTTTGGGTTTTAAAGAAACAGGGTAGCTTCTTCCCAGCTTTGCCTACAGTAAAAACAATGTCCAAGCCAAACTGTAAGAAAACCTAAGGCTTTAGGGTAACACATAGGAACAGCAGAAAACCAGGGAACTGCAGCATGAAGCTAGGTAGTTTCTCAACAGCATTATAAACCTCTCTAAAGAGATAAAATAATCCAAACTCCTAGTTGCATATGTCTAACACTTTTCAGAATATTGCTATCAAAGTGTATGTACAATAAAAATTACCTAATTTTCATAAAATTTCTGTATAAATATATCACCTTGACACTCTCCTCACAGTGATTTCTATATGTAAATGAGATGTTTTAAATTGCAGTTGTCACAAGTTTGGGTTTACCTTCATTTCTGTTAGAAACCTTCCTTTGCAAAGAAAAATCTCAGGTCAGAATACTTCTGCAGAGCACTCTGAATTCACATCAATAAAGTTATTAACATTCTGATGTATTTGCAAATCATGTTGTATTTTCAAACAGGGATTGATAAATTCCACAGTTCTCATTCCAGTCGTCCTTGCTTAGCATCACCTATTGCTCCCCACACATCAAATACAAACTCATCTGGAAATGCAAAGTCTCCAAGAGTTTCATCCAAGGCCACTGCAAATTCATCTGGATTTTTCTTGTCTCTTCCAGCTTCCACAATTGTTGCAGCTAAAAAGCAACAAAACAAAAGAATGTAATTATCATAAAAGTGGCAGCTAACACACAGGGGCCAAGATAGGGATGGATAGGATTTGGGATGTCTATTTCCAACAGCTGGTGAGGTCAGCTTAGGAAGAGACAAGGTCTACCAGGTGAATTTAGGATTCAACAGGAAATTATGCACTCAAAGTTCATGCTTATGCCTCTAGAAAGTGAAAAAGTTATTTCTGAAAATCTCAGCCAGGTGGGTCAAATTGTGCAGAAGCAAGAGAAAGGTTTTGCTGCTGTGCACAAGAAACTGGAGCCACCAAGCACCAGGAACATCTTGGAGTCCAGGAGAATGAAAGCAGAGGAGCGATACAATGGACTTAAACTGTGATATCTTGTATACCAATATTGTCCAGCATTTTCTCTTATTTACCACAAAAGTATCAGAATTTATCAAATGTCAGGGCTCACTTTTGAAATGGCTGCACTGGGGCTGCTGCACAGGACTGACTCCTCAGTTGCTGTGCTCATCCCTCACCTCTTGCCACTGCAGTTTCACGGACTCTAGGAAAACTTAGAACTCTAACCCAAACACTGGATGCTGGAAACCCATGGATATTAGAGCAAATGAAAACCTCTTTTGATCATGACACCTGCATCTCCATGAAGGGTGAAAAGAGTCAGCACAGGAATTTCTCCTGGTTAAGCTGGGCCCAGAGAACCACTGGCAGCAAGCTACCATGGCTGGAGGGCAGAATGCTCTGTAAGACACACTCAGCACAGACAGCACTGCTGAATACAGTTTGTTTTCTGAGCTGTATCTCTGCTTCTCAGCCTCTCTTCACAGGAAAATGATGGTATAGTACAATAGATGAAATATCAAAGTCTGCTTCATTTTGTGATTATTTCACACCCCTGCCTTAAACTGCTAGGTATCCTCCATCTTTTGTTAAACATCAAATACCTGCCACTTTCTTCACAAGCACATCAAATTCACGTGTCAAAGTGAAGGATTTGATAGCTTCTAGCCTTTCCTTAGAGACATGTCCAAATGTAAAACACATAACATAGTGCCTAAGAAAAGGAAGGAAGTTTTGAAGCCACAGAAAAACATCTTTACTGGGACAGTCTGCCATCTACCACATACACTGTATTCAATCAACATGGCAAAATCTCTCTAATAAAAATAAAAATAAGCATTCCCTGCTCTGAAGTTTTACCAAATTTAATTAATTTTATTTTGTTGACCTAAAACTCAGCTCAACTTTATTGACAGTTATGAACTTCTGGCAAACAGTATTTGCTGTTGTGCAAACATGCAACAAGCTGTAAGCAAGCTTGAGCCATATTCCACATTGTAAACGTCAACAACAGTAATTCTGAGGAAACTTGATGTTTTGGTTTTAACTGTGTTCAGGCTCCAAACACAATCACAGTGTGTCAAACTACACAAAGCTGCCCAAGGAAAATATATGTAAATCTTGACAAATAAACTGCTGTGATGGAGACAGTTCAAGTTTACCCCAGCTTCCCAGGCACCACTAGTGGTTCTCAAGGACCCTCAAGACCCTGCCAGAAGAAACCCTATCCCTGTTGCACTGATTCTCTCTGTGCCCCCTGTGAAGTCCCCAGGACTCTGATTCTGGATGGGAAATGGGCATTAAAGAGGCTATCCCTGTTGCACTGATTCTCTCTGTGCCCCCTGTGAAGTCCCCAGAGAAGTCCCCAGGACTCTGATTCAGACAAGTCTGGATGGGAAATGGGCATTAAAGAGAGGACTCTTGCTCCTGGTAAGCGGAACACAAGGATTTGTTGTGTAACACCACTCTATATCCCCTGACAATGGGGCAAAAGAAGGTACTTACAGGGAAGCAAGCCTGGAGACAATGAGGTGAAGGGTACAATTGAAACCTCACAGATTTCTGGATATGAAGCAGGATGTAAACTTACTTTTTATAGACACGGGCAGAAGGGTGGAGAGAAAAGAGCTGTGCAAGGTGGCGTAAGAGCAAACACACCAAGGGACTGTTACACCAGATATTTAGAAAAAGCTGCCACCCAAACAGTAAGGATCTAGACAAGTGTTCAAGCAGAGTAGGAGTGAGGAATGTAGCTATTTTTAAGATAAATTGGCCAAGAGATATGGAAGAACCATATGACACAGACAGCAGCAATAAAGCAAGACAACAAGGCATTATATCACAGTCCAGCTGCCCTGGCTGAAGCTTCAGAATTGCACATATTAAACTGTCAGTAACAGAAAGTGTAACTTCAAACACAACTTTCTTTAAAGAATGACCTTCCCAAACAACTAAATAGACTCTAAAAAAACTGATTTATTATAGATTTACGAAACTTGAAAACAAAATCCACTAAAAACTTAGCGGATCAACTTTCAACCCAGTCAAGCAAGAATCAGAACATCACCGTGCTAAAGCAGCCTCAAAAAAAACCCCATTTTCACCTGTATTGAGTAAGCCTGATCAGCACTGCAGGGCACATTTAATGCAGCAGAGTCACTAAAGCACGCCGGCATTCCCAGTTCCACCTGCTGCCGCAGGGATCCGGGCTCCCTGGGGACCGCGGGCTCTTTGGCAGCGCGGTGCTGACCTCCAGCGCCGGCCCGGCTGCACTGCGGCCCCGCTCCCCGCACCGCCGGGCTCTGGCAGAGCTCCGAGCCCCCTTCCCTGCCTCCGTGCCGGCCAGCTTCCCTGCCAGCCGGGAAGTCAGCCGTGAGCGCAGCCCTGCTTCCCCCGGCAGCCGCCACAGCCGCGGGACGGCGCTCGCAGGGCGGCAGAGCCGCGCAGAACGCGCCCGGCCGCACAGTGACACTCGCGGAATTGATGCGGAATTCCCAGGGCAAATCAAAGCCTACAGACTGCCAAGGCACTCAGCGGATACCGGCCAGCTTGAAGAGAACTTTGCTGGTTCGCAGAGGGTGACAGCTTCGTGCCAAATTGTCTCCACTCCCCTCCCTTCACCCCACTGCTTCTTGTAAGAGCTGCACAATAAGTGATTACAGGAATTTTATTCCGATAGAATATTTTTCCACAGTCAAAAGAGCCTCAATTGTTTTCAGATTTTCCTTTTTTCAGTTCACTTCAGGCAATGTTAATGTCTGATTAATTTTTACATAAATTGTGAAAAGTTCAGCAATCTTAAAAGTGGTGAAAGGAATTAGAAGTCTCATCAACTTTAACTGAGAAGTTAATGTCAAGCTTCCCAGAATATGAACAAAGTAATATGTTGGCTTTTCAAATATAGTTCCTTTAAAATAACCTCAAAGATTTTTCACAAAATCCTTTTTTCACTTTTAATAGACACATGGGACACAAGCCATGGAAGCTACCTTCTGCCTGCCATTCTTATTATCTACCTTACACAGTGGTTTTGCTGCCTATATCCTGTACTGTAACTTCTGAAAAAGCTTTTTTCAGAAGTCCTGACAGAAGCCTCGATATTTATTTAGCTGTAATGCTATTAGAAGTTTGGCCTTCATCAAAATATTATTGTTCTGCCCTGTCACTCTAAAGCAGAAAATGAACCATGTTATTGCAGTTTCCAGTATTTAACATTACTTGGTTTAAGTTTCATGTTGAACACTGTCGGATCTGGTAGACAATAACCATTAGAAATATTTCTTCTTGCTCCTTATTCTTAAGTACTAATTCTTCTTGAAGTTTATTTTGTTTAACTGGACTAGCTGCCCTTCTTTTTATCAAAAAACTCCCATTATTCTTTCAGAGTAAATGAACAGCCATAAACAATATACTCCTGGATGTATGCAATGAAATCCTTTGGGAAAAGAAGTCTGGGGACAGAAGAAGAAAATAAGAGATTCAGGGAGACTATCACTTCAGTTAAAGCTTTTGGAGATAAAAACATCTATGGAATATTGATTTGCAAGCCAAGAGAAAAAGCCTGGGTAACAAAAAAGGTTTAAACCTGTTAAGATATTTTGACTAGATGGTAAGTTTGAAAAATGAAGTCAAAAATGGAGAAGTAGATTTCAAATTTTTTAAACAAAGACAGAATACGCAAGGATATTTCAGCCTGATCTCAGTGATGGAAGATTATGAAACAGACTATGTTGTATGTGATCACACAGCATGGACAGGACAAACAGGGGCTCAGGCCCAGCCAGCATGGGTTTAGGAAAGGCAGGTCCTGCCTGACCAACCTGATCTCCTTCTATGACCAGATGACCCACCCACGGGATGAGGAAAAAGCTGTGGATGTGCCTACTGGACTTCAGTAAAGCCTTGGATTCTGCTGCCCACACCTTTCTCCCAGAGAAGCTGGCAGCCCATGACTGCACCAGGGGATGTCCAGGTTGGACATCAGGAAACATTTCTTCACTGGAAAGGTGGTTAAGCATTGAATGGGCTGTACAGGGAAGTGATGGAGGCACCACAGCTGGAAGTACTCAAAAAATGACCGGGTGTGACAGTCTGTGTTTAGTTGGCATGGTGGTGTTTGGTCAAGGGCTGGACTCGTGATATTGGAGCTCTTTTCCAACCCTAATGATACGTCATGTCTGATAATATTATAGAGAGCAACAGAAAGGAAACAATCATTCACAAGTAGAAAACTAGAACAAAGGGGAAGAAAATATTGGTGGATGAAGCCAAAAGGTGCTGAAAAAAAATGTGGACAGGAAGCCCTTGTGCCATCATTTACAATCGGTAGCATTCTGGGGTTAAATGCAGGCTTCCTCTCACCCAGAATTTTTGGAATTAAATACAATCCATAAAAAATCAAGTCTTACTGATTTAAAAAAAATAAATGCCAATATTTTTCATTAATACTGTTTCCTGAGTTGCTCCTTTTAATCAAGTGCTTTAATTCCTTTACCAGAAAGCACTCATAGAATTTAAAATAATCTGAATTATCTCTCAGCTATGTTTTAAAGAATGCTGAAGTCAATCCTTGGCCCAATTTCTAATATGCCCATAAAATGGCTGAAGAATACATTTCCAGAGCCAACTGTCCCTTCTCTGGATTACATACAGTTTTCAGTACAAAGGAGTAAGAAAGTAAAAAGGTAAAAATACACCCAAATGCAGGTATGTAAATCTCAACAGCATTTAGATCTCTGAAAATAAAAATAAAAAATTGTGCCTGAAAAAAAAGTGCATGTATTTTCTTTAACAATTTCCAATTATTTTGGTCCAGCCTAGGGATTTGTGTGTAGATTTAGTCAGCCATTCTTGAAACTGTCAAGATACTTTACCATACAAAAGTTAAGGGCTTTATCTCACCTTTATTTCTGTCTGTAATTTAACATTAGTTTTTCTTTCCTTTCTTTCTAACTTATGTCTTAAAACTGGGGCACTGTTTCAAAATTCAATCACACCATGGAAGTGTCATTTTAATGGAGATGAAAGAGTAATATTAACTGACATCCAAAGATTCTGACAAACAGAAGTGCATGGAAGTGAGCAATGATTGAGATCTTAATCACTTGTCAGCTGCACATTGTGATGACTTGCATTTTCAACTAATCTGGCTTGAGTAATGAGTGAAATTTCGAGCTAAGTGGTGATTGGCATTCTCTGAATGAATCTTTTCCTCATATTTCATTTTCATGGGTGACTGATCACATCCAGTATGTGAAAAACTGACATGTGTTAATTGAACAGATTTGTGACAGGTGATTAGCTCTCCTTTCCTAAAGAATCCTAGAGCTGTTTAATTGTTTTAAAATTGTGAAGTTGGGAGGTTTGAGTCATCAACACTGGCTGTTGACTCTTAGATTTGAACTTCAGGATATGGCTTCAAAGGTGCAAACTAAAGCTACATGAACCCTACAGTCTTTGATTTCTGACAGCTTCTCTTGGTTTCACTACCTTTTGGGGAGGAAAAGAAGAGGTGAGGGACAAAACAACCACCCAGCTGGGAACAAAAGAGCCTCTCTATGAACAAAGACCTCTTCCTTCTTTGAGTATTCTTTTAAGGCTTTTTTTTTTAAAGTTTCTAAACTACATACTGAAAGATGAAGGGCATTAGATCTTTTTGAAGGGAAAAAAAAATTCAAGGAATTCATGGGAAAACTCTACCAGGTGCTTGGCTATTAACTCAACCATGTGTTGAAAGCTGAACTTCTCAGTCTACTGTGCAAGAGCCATCCTGTTTACAGTACTGAGAGCCAAAACCACAGGGAACACCAGTCCCCACAGGACCGTTCCCATGGACACCAGAAGCAGAGCACCCACAGCTGCTTATTCCTGTAGGGCAAGGAGCCTGGGGACCTTGGAAGTAACCTGCAAGGACAGGAGCTTCCAGAAGCCCAGCCTGAGCCAGGACTGCAACAGCTGCAGGACAAAAACAGCTCCCGGAGGGACAGCTGGCAGGGGACTCAGAGCTTTGAAGCCTGAGCCAGACCGAGGCACAGAGGTTGCAGGAATGAGATGGGACATGGAATCCTCCCCAACCTAAACGTGGCTCAGCAGCACACAGGCCTCCCAGGAGTGCATTGCATGGCAGCAGCATCACACATGAGAGTTGCTGGGAATAGAAATGTTGAGAACTTCTAGTTTCCCGGGAATTGGAAAGTTTAGATAGAACCTACGAAACAGAACTCGAGTTTTGGGCAGCTCTGCCCTCTCTTCTATGCCAGCAAGCCCTCTTCTGCCTTAGACTGAAGGACAAATACTGTTTTACCTACATTTTTTCCTGTGAGAAAACTAGTGGAATCTGCCAAACAGATGCTTGCTGGTAGGAGCACCCAACAAAGGCCTTTTGGCTATTGAGATAATCACTTTTTGTTCTCATTCCTCTGTGCTAACTGCTGCCCCTCCAGCCCTGATGGAGCCCTCTGGAGCTTCATGCCAGACCTATTTTCTGTTCTGCTTTGCCTTTTCCACTTCTCTCTCATTAAAGGTTTCTTTTCAAGATCACTTTCCATTTAGCCTATTCTTTCCTTTTTCTTGGCTGGTTCTTTTAAGATATTACCATAATAATAAATACTTTCCTCTTTGTCTCAGTACCAGCAGTTCCACAAAATCCTAGGAGGATTGCACCAGCCACAGCAGGGTACAACAGCTAGACTACAGCTTCTTCCCCCACAAACAGAAATTCCTATTTAGTTGTTGTCAGAATAACAAAGAAAAGCAACAGCTGCAAGGACAAGTTTGGTCCATTTTTAAGAAACTTATGACACTGGGGTTAAGTAGTTTCTTTCATTATAAATCAATGATTCCTATAACTAGTAAATGTTCCATAAGTTTTCTCATGTTCATCGGAACACAGCTTTTAGAGATTTTGATAAATTTCTGTAATTATTCGGTCAGTTCCCTTGCTAAATAGTTGCTTGTTCACTGATGAAGATCTCAGGTTCAAATCTTAGCAATCAACTTTGATGGGTCTATGCCAAGGGGCAAAAAAGCAAATAAACAAACTTATCCTTAAGAATTCTTAACCAAGGCACACACAAGATCCACTAGAAAATATATGCCAGAAAGAATACAGGGGTGACAGTTATAGCAAACAACTAAAAAATTCATGCAACAGTGTATAGCTAATATGCAGAAAGAATAGAGGATTGATTGAGTAATTACATCATAAGCATTGAAGTGGGAGGGTGATTATTTCATCAGAAAAACTCATTTGTAGAAATACATGCAAGTTTTTGAGACTGCAGACTGGACAAATTTTGCTTCACTTACATCCAGAGACTAAAGTACTCAATAAATGTTAGACTACAGAAAATGAGAAATTATTTACTCTTGTAGTAATGTATCTGCCAAAAACTCACCTAATTCAATATCTCTTATGCCCATGTACGTTTCAAGAAGCTCATCCACTTTCTTAATTGCTTTTTCTTCAACTTCAGTTGGCTTTGTTGGAATAAAGGGAGAGAAGAGCAAAAGTATGATTATATCCATGCAGATTTCAATATAACCAGCAATGTGCCAGTAATTATCCTTACTCCCATCTTGGCCACCTAGACTTACAAAATCTACAGATTAAACACACTATTCCACTCTCTTTCCCTCTTCTCACAAACATGAGCTTTCCTCCTAATACCAAGTCACACAGCTCGCACATTCAAAGTGAACAGGGGCCTTATATCTCCTGACAAGACAGATCTCCATCAAATCCTCATCAGCTTTAGAAGAGCCCAGAATAAACAATAAATAAAATAAATAATAAATATAATAAATAATACTTATTCACCAAACTCTAATCCTGGTCTTGCACAAATTCACATCAATGTATTTAATTAGCCTTTCCCAACAACTACCCTTTCACCAGTGTCAGAAATGGAACAAATTCTCCATAACCAACCCATCTCTTTTTTTCCCCCCTTCCCTCTTTTCAGCACCCCTGAAAATCTAAATCATCCATGTAGTCCACACCCTTTCACCAGTGTCAGAAATGGAACAAATTCTCCATAACCAACCCATCTCTTTTTTTCCCCCCTTCCCTCTTTTCAGCACCCCTTGGTCTAATCTAAACTCATCCATGTAGTCCATGATATCTAAATCTAGGTTCTGTGTTTCCAGGTTCTTCAGCCCTATCCTATCCCTGCTAGTCATCAACTTTAGCTGTTCTCTTCAGTCCCACAGGACATGTAACATCCAATTTTTCCTTCCTACTTATCAGCCCGGGGGAAGAATAAATCAGAAGCTGGGTGATTAAACTACTGAGGGGCATATACTCCACCATACCATTTCCTCCACAGTAGCAGGGCCTTTGGCTCTCAGGCGAAGTGTTTCTCTCCCTTTGGAGATTTTAGCCTCTGACAGAGTTCTGCCTTTGGACCTTGGTTCCAGCTTTTCTAAAAAAAAAAAAAAAAAAAATCCAACAAAAATAAAATACCAAACAAAACTACGTATACTGTACAACATTAATATGAGGTATCTGTTTTGGTTATTACAGTATCTTCACTTAGTCTAATCGAGACCTAGACTATTAAAAAATCTAAATATAAGTTAACTATTTTAAGTATAGCTTTGCTGACAATGTCTCGTTGTGAAACTGTAATTTCTGCTCAACTGCACTGAGGCCAGGACTTCCATTGACCAATATATCTAAGCAGGCCTATGGCATTCATTTCACATGTGTACCTTGTGTAATTTTATTTCCCTATTCTACAGAGAAGTATTTATACCTTTATATTAGATAGCAGCTGAAATCACTGCCAGCTGCTGATTTATTCGGACAGAACACATAGCAGGTTTAGCATTGCAACATTTCTATCTTTCACTGATGCAATGGTGCAAACACTCCTGCTAAGCAGGTGATGATGAGCCACATTGAGCTGAGCTAACAATCTGCTTATCAGCACTCACAGAGGTGAAGTGGCCATAAGCAGATCTGCAGGAGGTTTCACCAAAATTATTTCATAGCTGATAAATCTCTACAAAGAGTACCTGGTTTACATGGAACTTACTCTAAGAATTCAGCCTTTCTTGTTTCATCCTGGGTAAGGCACCCCAGTTAGAAGATGAAGCATAGAATCATTTAAGATTTGGGATGCCATTTTACATTCAAGAGTGGCAAGGCTTTAATTTACTTATTGACATGGCAGTTACATAGTAAATCTAGAAAGTGCTAGAAGAGAGGAGACAATTCTGCAGAACTGCTTTTATTTGTCCTGTTTTTCCTAACAGATATTCCTCCTCTTAATTACAAGCCTTTCTAATAAGCTCTTCTTGAAGTTATACTTCAACATATTATATTAATTTTGCTCAGATAGATTTCAGCTCATCATTCTTGCATAAGTGGTCACAAATCAAGATTATTATGCTGAACAGTATGCTTGAAAAGTAAACTTTATCAGCTTTCATGATACAAATAGGTATGTCAAAGTCTCTTATATATATACTTAGGATCAAGACTTTATCCTTTTATTGCTTCAAGGAGAGTTTAAAACATCCTTAAGATTGTCATAATTTTTGATAAAAAACCCCACAATTTTCAAATTCTGTCACCATTATCACCTTAAAACTCATGATTTGACATAATTTTTCTTTGCAGTCCTTTAGACCAAAACACTCTGGCTATCACATAAACTATTTTTCATGTTCACATCATTAAAACGCAGAGTTCGTGTTATGCTGCCTTGACTTTGTTTCTATTAATTTTTCACAATTCACAGACGCTTGTGACTGGTACAAATCTTTTATTCTGTGCTACAAGCCTTGCCTAGGGGAGCTAAGACAGCCCAGTGTACATGGTAGAAGGATGTCCAACCAGTAAATTATGCTTATTTCACATTCCGCTGAGAGGAAGAAAAAAATAATTTCACATAGAGGTTTGTCTCTTATTTCTGTACCCTCACCAAATTCTGTTGAAATTAACAGGAATTCAGCACCTACTAGTCGAGCAGGATCTGGATCTTGTCTGTCATCTCCTCTGGGGCTATTCTTAGTGCTTAAGCATTATCTTTGTGCCTGAAGCCTAACTGTACCTAAGGCTAATGGCAGGACGTTTTAACCTACTGAGCACTGCAACTTGCAAGTTAATTTCTGTAGGTAAAAAAATAACGTGCATCTTCCAAAAATCTGTCCACAAAGCTCTGGTTGCCTCTTAAATCAAGGACAGAAAAAAGGTATTACCATGAAATTAGAGCATTATCTCCTCTACATCACAGGCAGACTAAAAGGCATCTTAGCCACCCAACTAAAGTAAAAAGTATTAAATTATGGCTGAAGTCATCAATCAAATGCTGATTTACAAACAGACCGTTTAACGCTTCTAGCATTGAACACAAATTATAGGCCCATATTAAAAAAAAGCATTGCTGCATTACTAATTGAGATAGACAACATATGCAATTCTTTAGCATAATGTATAACATACACATTTACTTAACAACAGTAGCAATCCGAACACATTAGAGATCAGCTGATAACTCCCATTCTTCACAGAAGCACCAAAAGCAAAAAAAAAAAAATCTTTGTATTTCTCTCATTTTCAATTTCTGCTGCTATTCTGACACCAAGTGTCAAGACTGGTGTATGACAGTAGCTGTAAACCACTACACATTAAAAAGTTTTGAAAAATAAATGTTTAAAATTTTTGCTGCTATAGTGATATTGAATTGACTGTTATTGCAGGTGTGCAGAAGGCCTCATACAAATTTATGCTTTAGCATTATTTAGAAGTTTTTATTACAGGAAAATGCTACATGGTTTGGGGAGAGGATCCAAAAAGTTGAGATAATAAAAATTGTAACTCAGTCTCTATTTTGGCTGCCTGAGCAAAACTTCCCTGGTTTGTTTGTTTGTTTTCTACATTGATAGAGTTCATATATAAATGAATTAGCAGTAGGTATGCCTTCCTTCTATTTAAGCAGCACTTCTCATAGCATGCAGGTGGCAAGCAAAGACAGAACTTTGCAATTCTGCCTTCTTCCAATTCTGAGTACACCTGCTGCATGACTGGAGATCCACAAAAAGGCCGGGGAGGGGGACAGGGAGAACAAGCAGACAGCAAAGGAGGTGCTCTGGGGAATCCCAGACAGCACTTGCTCAGACTCCTTCTGCATTAGAGTGCACAGACCAGTAAAGAGTACAGAAATAGGAAAGTCTGACACAGAACAACAGGGATTATGCATTAATAGTGGAAAAAAAGAGTTTTGAGGATCAGGACATTAGTGAAGTGATCCATGCTTTAAAACTGTACCTATGAAACAATTAATGATCTTATTTTGCAACATCACGTAGTGGTAAGAGAGACTGACGAAGGCTCAGGTGAGGAACTCACACCAGGATGACTGCTGGAGGAAGCAAGATGGAAGAAAATCCATTCATAAATCTCCCACTTCAAAGAAAAAAACTAAGTGTACTTTCTTGTAGTAGTTATGTTACCATAGGCGGACACCTGGCTGCTTTCTGAAAACAAACTCACAAAGCAATGCAATGATGGGATTTTGCTGTCAAGGTGTTTTACTGAACAAGGTGGACAGTCAGGTCACTCACCAAATGCTTTCAAAGGCTCTACCAACTCCAGCTTAAACTTCTGACCTTTCTCCAGATCTTTTAGCATTTTGGCAACTTCGTAATGCCGACACTGTGACACGTTTTTTCCGTTTATGGTCTCTATGTGATCACCCACGCAGACGGTTTTGGTTTGGTCCATAATGCTGCCTTCTTTAATTCGCTATCGTTTAAAAAAAACAACAAAACACTACCAGAATTAGAAACATTTCTTTAAAAGGTGATAGTTTTTAAGAGGTGACACCACCAAGTTTCAAGCATGTCAGTTAACAATACCAATACTACTGATATTATTATTCCAGCAGTGTGTTTTTTCAATAAGATTATCATAAAACATATTTTGAAAAGCATTATTTTTAAAACAAAGTATTTTAATAAGCATTGAATACACAATCAGACAGGGAAAAAAGGAACCACACTTTAGAAATAAAGAGTTCTGAATAACCTAGTATTTTTGTGCTTTAAAACTGATCACAGACATTTCAGTAATGTGGATGGTTATTCAAGTTTTTGGGGTTTTTCTATTTAATAGCTTGACAAGCATAGGAACAGAATTTTTCTCTTCTCAAGTTTAGTCCAGGGACATAGTAAAAAGTTACATACTGTAAAGGGCTGATCTTCTTAAGATCCATCCCCAGTGCTGAAACTACTACTTTCCTCATTAAGCTATACAGCTGTATATTAAAGGATATCCTTTGAAATAATAAAGAATAGGAAAATATTTTAACTGCCATCTCATGGAAAACACAAATAGTCTAAAAGTCATAACAGAAGTTATAGCTCTTATGAAATGTAATTTTAAAAGTATGGGGAAAAACCTTTAAAATATCTCTATGATTTGTCACACTTTAAATTTCAGTGATTCTGTTTATTGTTGTTACATACTGTCATATTTGTTCATAGTGTGCATACATCACTTAAGTCATTATTATATGGCTATTGAATAGAAAAGCTATGACATAGTAAAGTATCTTTTATTCTGCAGATACAAATTTCATTCTAACATGCTCCTGAATAACAATCTTTTCACCAAGGACTGAGTGGTTCAGGATAACTGTGAGGTAACAGCAGACAAGGCAGATCACCACGCTGCCAGCTGCCACTGCAGCAGCCAGCCTGGCTGCGCGATGCTCCGGAGCCGCTGCTGTCCCTGCGTGGCTGAGCCCACACTTGTGCCTCCATCTCAGAGTCAGTGGGAAGGAAGTGTGAGAGTGCTCACTGGCATGCAGGGCACCGAAATCTTTGTCAGCTTCAGGCTGAGTTTAACTCCTTCCAGCACCAAACAGAAGCCTCGCGGTGAATGTGGATGTGGGTACTGTACGCACCAGAAACCAAATGTGCCAAATGCATTTCTGTTACCAGGACTCAAAACCTGTCCCACTCAGCTTCAATCAATGTTTAGTCCACATGTTGAATATTCATTTAGCTTTTCTTCTTAGCACTTGGATCCCAACACTAAGACAGTTTAAATAATATTCACTGGCTGTTATTTGTGTCACTTTTTATCATCACTCCAAGTTAACTGACTGAGACAGTCAAGCTACACTGTCACAGTAATTAAGATGCAATTGCCTGTATTTCAAGTGCTCTACAGTCCATTGAGAAGCTATGAGGATCTATATTTCCTATGCAATGCCTACTCCATTTAATAATATCTCGTTGTACACCATTCAGTCATACTTCAAGTTCTACTGCTGTTCTTTGAATGCTAATTTGACTCCATAATACTTTTTCCCACCTGCCTGTGTAGCCCCCAAAAAAATTTGTGAAAGCAGAACGACACCAGGTTTTGCTCTTAGTAAGGCAAAACAAGATTAAATTTCATAGGAAAAAACCCTGCAGTTCAGCGTCAGGTTTAAAATTGGTTGGGTTACCACATCAAACCTAGAAACCTCCCTGTTATTCAAAATGCAGTAAAATAACTACAACCCACCAACCAGTAACACACCAATCGGTAAATTTAGTATTAATTTTTAATTAGGATTGGGACACAGTTAAAATTTTTAAGGAAAATATATGTATATAAGCAAAAAAAATTCGTTAAAACTTTAGAGACAGTCTCATTTACCTAGACAATGAAGTAATAAAAAGGATGCAGCTTTCACTTTTGTATATGCATTTTCTATGCTGATTTAAAAGATCCATTAGCTAAATCTGCAGCGACAACAAAGTATGCTCCTAGAAACTCCTTAAAACTGATGTATTCCCATGAAGACTGCATCATTTTCATTACAATGCTTATTATTAGACCAGTACAAGGAAAAATAATATATATTTGTTAAGAGGACTTTTACAGAATTTACTGGAAATTACAGCTTGTCTGGCCAATGTTGTGAGGGTTTTCCAGCGTGCTCCAATTGTGCAGCAGTCTGTGTGAGGGCTGTTCTCTCTGCCTGTTACCAAGCAAGCACAAAGGGAGTGTCACTGCACAGGGCTGCACTCGTGAGCGCTGCTCACTGAAGCACTGCTTCAATGCCTTCTTTTAAAATGCCACATAAGCAGCAGCACGACTGAATGTTATGGGCTGTATAGATGCCACCACTAGAAATTTGCAGTTCTTCATCGATAAACATAAAAGTCAGGCTATGATTTTGCCAAAATGCTTAGTGAAACCTTCACTGCATCTTGACTTGCACAAACATGTCCTCAGTCACATTTTTCCACAGCAAAGACAAACCAATTTGTAAACCGTGTCCTGTTTTACAGCCATGGTAGCTAAGGAATGAACAAAAAATACAACTTCTCCATACAAAAGCTCTGTTTACAATGAGAACAGAGATTGGGGTAGCAGTAATCAAAGATAATTGCTAATGCCTCACTAATAATGGGTAACCGGAGTATATTAGAGCAAAGAATCTCAAAAAGGCAGAAAATGTGATTAAGGTTCCTAATACCTTGTCTAGCAAGAAGGGCAGCATCATTTCATAAGCCTCTACTTGTCTCAAAACATACTGCCTCTAGGTCATATAGAAGAGGAGAAGGAAAGCAATTATGATTAATATACTGAGTATGATACTGCCCATACTTGCTACTCAAACTCATTGTGGTAAATTGTGTTAACCCATATCCTTGTAATTCATCCTATCTAAGGCAACAATACTGGAAAGCTGAAAAACCACTGTATTTGCCCCTGCTCTTGTATAGCACAAAGGCTTCTGCCCTGGGAACAGCCGAAGACTGAAAGAACATGATCTCATTATCACATGAGTAACAGAAATTCTATAAGCATCTAATAAATGACATCAGAAAATCAGTTTAAAACAGGAGGGGGCAGATGCAAGCAGTATCTAACACCTACCACCTCAGGGTAGCTCAGGAGCTACAATGCTCTCATTGTAAAGCTGATACACGTTACAGAAGCAATGAACAAATGAACTGATTTTGAATGACATACAGTACAGATTAGCTGAACTAATTTTGAATTATGTACCTAAAGAAAAGCAACTTTATTCTTTACTTATCATATATATGATAATAAAAGATTTTATAGTTCTAAAGGATCATGAAACCAATAATTAACCTATTATAGTAACAGGAGCTTCTATAGAACAAAGTATTTCACTGGTAATTAAGTTTACCTTTATAAAGGCACAGCCAGTTCCATTGTCTGTAATGGTAAGTCCCAGCATATCATCAGTTTTAAGAATTTCCACTTCTTTTCGCTGTCCTTTCACATGGGCAAATATGAAATCTTCAAGGCCAATTTGTGCCCCTAAGAGCTTGTCCATATCAACTTTATGAGTGTTCAAAGTGCAAAACATGATCTGTGCAGAAGGAAAGCAAACACAGTAACAGTGTGTTAGGTTTGGTGAGCTTGACAGGAAGCTGAAATGAGAGCACAGTTCAGGCCCCTGTGACAGGTCCGTAGCTCAAGTGATCGCCCTTCTTCTCCAGCTATACCAGGAGTAGTCTCCATCCACATGCAACAGAAAGCATCAGGAGCTCAAAGTGCAGGTGAGAGCTGGCAGGGAACAAAGGAAAGAGACCTCCCAAGGCCTGTCTCAGCACAGCAGCCCTGAGAGAGGCACCCTGAGCTGCTAGAGCTTGCACCACAGCTCAGAGTAAGCAAACTGAAGAGCCATCACCATCTTTTGCCTCATCATTCACCCACCTCAAATTCCACCTGATTCAAAGATCACTAGGGACTACTTTAAAACTTGATTAGTTGAAAACAGTTTAATGGTAAGAAAAAAAAAAAAAAAAAAAAAAAAGAGAGCTTATCAAAACAAAAGTCATGAGAGAGCATGAAATGCTTTGTATTGCTCCAGTGTTCCCTCATCAGCTCAGAGCACATTTTCTCTAATGGGCTTGCTTAGTTCCTACCCTTCCCCAGCATGAGTTGGGGTCACCCCTGTTCCAGTAAAAGCCAGGCTTAATAAAAAGGTGAAATTGCTTCTTTATACATCAGCTTTTCTGAGGGATTTCCCTTCAGCACTGGCTATGAGGCAGTCCTTTTTCTCGCTACACTTATGCCAGTTCTTCAGCAGGGAGGTTTCTTGTCCTGGGCACAGGCAGGGTGAGAGCAATCCATCTGCACTGCCTGGGAGCAGGGATGCTGTTGCCCACCACGGAGCTGCACGAAGGAATTTGGCCGAGCCCAGCACACCACCAGAGCTACAGTAATGACAGGTGCCCAAGCCTTTCCAGGCTGCAGCAGGAGAGGAGCGAGGGCCAAGGGAACCCCAGCTTCCTCCTGGGCAGCACAGGGCAGCAGCCAAACCAGAGAGACCAAGAGCAATCCCTAAAATCTACTTCACTCAGGCAAAGAATGGGTTTTCCACCCCAGAACACTACACGTGACCTTTTCATTCCTTCTGGCATCACTGGAATAAAGCGGAAAAATTGAAATGAAAGTTACCAACCTGTTTAAACCAGGTCAAACAAAGAGTGGATACTTTTACTAATTTATTTCATAGACAGCATTCAAGTTTCTGCAGCTTTCTAGGATTTAGATTCTGTAACTATGAGGGTTTATAATCTTAGAAGACAAAGTTAGTAGAGAGATTGTGTTTCTTGACAGAGGTCTTGTTTAGTCGCTGTTTTTAAAAACAAAACAAAAAAATGCCCAACCAAACAGCCTTGCTTCAATGACTACTTGCTTTATCTCATCTGATCCATCAAACATCCACTGCAATCTAACACCTTATTTAACAATGAAAGTTGTAACAGCACACCCTTAACAGACATTAGTTTTATTTGCTCAGCTAATGCAAGGGTTTTCAGTTAAACACTACTCTAGATATAACAACACCTAGAGAAATTAATCTGGTTTTAAGAAGAAAATTGAATATAATAATACTTATGATGATAATAATTTCTAATGACAAGCTTTTTTTAAACAAAAAATAAAAACAGATGATATCAAGTTCACGTACACATTTTCAGCTCTCTCAAGTTACATAACTTTGCCGGTTTAAAATGGTAACTCAGTTCTCTGTTCATTGTTCCTGCCATGAATAACAACGAATGTCTTCACATTTTAGACATTAGCATCCTTCATGTGACCTTGTCAAACAGACAATCTAGTAAATACTGTCACACCTTTGAATAGATAAAATTGGCAACAGAGGAGAAATGTGATATTTAGAAACTTGATCCAGAGTTTCTCTTTATAGATCTTCATCTGGATGGCATTCCTACTACAGCCTATAAGTCTGCAGAATTTTTTGTGAGTCAGTTCTATGCTAACCACAAGGCTGAGAGAGCATCAGCTAGTCAAAAATAAAACTTAAATCATTCTTCATCCTCTTTAGTGAACAACTGCTTTTTCTCAGAACAGATATATGCAAAGAGTAATGTACTAAAGATGTGCCTACCCAGAAAGATATATCACCACACCATCTACCAGTTGTAACATAGCTTAATTTGTACACAACTGAGACCTATTGATTCAAAAATGGTATTTTCATAGATTTTACGTAAGTTTAATATTGGTAACTAATGACAGATTATATACCTGAATACTTAAACAGCTTCCACTCACTCAAACTTTTGCATATTTTTAATAGTAATTTTCTTATTCAAAAATGAAACAAGAAAAAAATTCAATGTGCAATTCTCATGGTTAAGTCTCTTCTGTCTTCACCCTAAACCTTCATAGGCATTTGGTCTTTAACTCAGTGTACCAGTGCTGTGAATATTTCATGCCAACTTTAGCAAGATATTATAAATCAGAACGATTACATCAGTCACGAAGTATCTAGGATACCTCCTTCACCAAGAGTTATCTTCTGCAGCACTCAGAAGAAGGAAATTCCATGTCGCTGGACACTAGGGGCTTATGCACAACTTGATAAAATCGATTTCTCCAATAAGATCACTAACAGATTATTCCCTGCACCCATATTTTCAATTGGAAGAGACCACATAAGCCAACAAAACCAGGGCTACACTGTGTGTTATATAAATAAATTATATTAGCTAAGAAAAAGAGGGTTGCATGATGTGTTATATAAAGTATATATGCAGCACCATATTGCATGTTCTATACATTAATTGTACTCTGATCTTCTGTATTGAGCTGACACCTTGAGAACTCAATAATGAGTGGGTTGATAGATTACATACTCAGAAGCTATTGAAAATGTATTAAAAATCTCTGATAAACATTAAATTATTATGATCTCTGTGAAGTTAAGAGGAAGGGAACTGGGAATTTAATTCTGAGCAAGATGTAACACCCACTGACATACTTCCCTGTATATGTAGATGTCATCGTATCGAGAAATCACCAGCACATTTTCTCGGTATCTTACTCACTTTATCTCTCCCAAGGAAAATGTGGGAGCCTTGACCAGCTTCAGCAACAGGAAGAGAGTAACCAACTCCTTCAAGTTCTAGTGTGGTTTTGGTACTGTCAGGTATTCAGCCTGGTCAATATATTCAAAGGCTTATAAAATAAGTATTCAGTGCTTTGCTGTTTGTCTTGAGATTTGGTTGGGGTTTTTTCTGTTTGGGTTTTTGGTTTTTTTGCACACAAGTATTACAGTGTAATACAGCGTACACAAGTAATTACAGGGTAAGTTCTTCCATCCAATTATTTCCATACTAATATTTCAAAAACTTTCAGTCAAAGTATTGGAAAAGACACAGCAAGCATCACATGCAATACGGGTGTGACATTTAAAGACTGCTTAGGGAAACAGCAAGCAAACAATTCTTGCCATAGGGTTGGGAGGAGGTGTTTTGTAGGGAGTGTTAAGTTTGCTCATTTAAAGTATTCAATCTGTAGGCGTGATTGTGAGCAATTTCTTTCAACAGATAAGCGCAACAATAAAACTTGCAAGATTTTGGTGATGAGGATTTCACAAGCTAAACCTTTTCTCTAAAACACACTTCAGATTTTTTATTGTTGAAAGGACAGTTTTGTTCAGAAACACAAGTTTCAGCAGTGGCTTATTTGTCAGCAGTCTTTCATAAAAGTTTAAATTGAACAGGTTTAAATCAAATACTTCTATGAAAGTTTAATGTGGCACAGCCTCACTGTATACTTGACTGTTCAGCATGAGGAGGCAAGGCCTGTGGAACTACAGCCCACACACAAGCTCAGCAGCTGAACTCTTGCTACTGGAAGAGAAAGAGGGAGCTGCATTTCTGCCCTTACTGCTGCCAGAAAGGTCTGAATTACCCTTGTGTTGCAAAATTCCTTCCACTGGGGTGAAAGAAACCCCAACCTCCAAGGGCTCTGGACAGACACAGCCATGGAGCATTAAGTTGAGTTCACCTGCCCCACCACATTTCACCGTTCAAAGCAAACAAAATAATCAAAAGGAAAATTGCAAGTAAGCAAACCAAAAGTCCACGCAGCTTCTATGGGTTACCATTCCCTTCTCGTCTGATCAAGAAATAGCCCTGCTACAGCTGGACTTTAATATCCACGTTCTCGGTGCCTGATTAGCTACTCTGAATACTTTAAAGCCCTACCATGTGCTCTCACAGGAGCACACCACCACCAAATGCCTTAACAGACCCACATTGTCCTTCAGTCAGTGCGCATTTATTTATCATACAGGCTGCACTCAGCACTTTCACCCTTACGGGGAACATTCCCTGCTACATTCCCAATAATCAGAGTGGATAGCAATTCTAAAAGGCCAAAGCTACACATAAATATTTTTTCCAACTATTTTTCCTACTTCAACCTCCATAGAAAAAAGAAGGGAATATTTATATTATTTATGCAAGCAGAAACATACACGTAACTGTGCGTGGGTTGTTAGTTAAGAGTTGCATCTGTCTATCTATCTATAATTTTTTTAGCTCTGTGCTTTCTTGTTGAAAGCTTGTTGCAGTAATCAAGTTAAAAGTCAATAAAAATGTGATGTACCTCAAACAACACTCATAATAACGATGCTGGAAATGATAAAACTTACATTTTTTAATGTAACTTTTGTCAGAGATTTGTTCTCCTTTGCCCAGGGGGAGGGGAATTGAAGTTTCTCTTTATAAGACTCTTCACCAGGGTTTAACGTTTTAAGTTTTAACATTCATAGATTGGGAGTAGCCAGAAGATACACAGGAGATAAGAGAACATCACTCCCTGGCACAGCCTGAGACACCTGGTCTGGGAAAAGACTGATAGGAGAACTGAAGAATGAGGACCAAATTAGCATTGAAGGCAAAGGGATCAATAACCAATAGGAGATTGAATACTAAGAATTGCCTAATTTAAGAGCAGTGAACACAAATTTATTTGGGTTTTGTCTGTATTTCTTTCTCCTGCAGTTTTGGTGTCAATGACAGAGGTAATGTATTGCTAGAAGCCACATTCACTCCTCCTCCCTGGGCCAAGAACAGTCACCTTGGACAGAGAAAAGCAGAAGTGCTGGACATTGTAAAAGTCAAGAGGTAGGCAGAAAGAGAGGCTTCTGCCTTCCCCTCAGCTCAAAAGGGGTAAGAGGTATATAAAATACCTACAAGAAAGGATGAGTACAGAAAAGCCTCAGAAAGCACCTGTCACGTGTCACTCCTTCATAGATACCCAGCGAAGATCCCCTTTGAAGCCATCCTGCCCCACATTCCTGTCCCCATCCCACGCTACTCATGATCCACGTCTGCACAGAAGTTTCTGTCAGTGTCTGTCCAACAAACACTGTGTTTTATATAAACTTCTCTCTGTCACTGCTGGCAGTCAATCACAGGACCTGGAATGGATTCTCCAGCAGAAACTGAACTCAGCTGGTCCCGAGAGGTGTGATCCAAAGAGGAAAAGAAGTGCTGTAACCATGTGGAGTCAAAAGGAGAAGTGACAGATTACAAGTACAGCTCATTCAGAATCGTATTACAACACTTAGGCAGGAATTTATCCAAGAATCCGTACTCCTGCCTACCCTGAGGCAAACTCGCATACCATATTAAATGTATTCATTTCTGCAAAAGGTCTCTGAATGCTCTCTGCACAGAGCTCTTCCCCTCCCTCCCTCCCTCCACCACTATTTTCCAGCCCAGCCACTCCAGGGTGGAGATCTCTGTGACAGGACCTGTTTCCAAAGGCAGTCACGTGTGGGTATCACACACTGCCCACGGGCTGCAGCAGAGCTGGGTCACTGGAACTTTCCTAGACAGGTAACACCTCCAAATGGCATTTGAGTACCTGAGCGTCCTTCATTTTGCTGAGATGTAGCTTCTGGCATTATTCTTTACACCAGACTATCTGTCCACAAGCAGTTTTAATGAAGAGATAATTTAAAATAAATTCGAATAAATTCTCATTTCTTGGCTGTTCAATGATCTATCCTGTCTCTATGCAAAAATCTGTTGCATGACTCTCTGGTCTGAATTCTTCACTCTGTTATGCCACATTTATACCAGGAAATATTTTTGTTCACTATTTTCATATCATACAACTTTCTTAAAGCCAACAGAATTTCTGAAGTAAAAGATTTTAAGTTCAGTGCCCCCAGCAATAATACTCTATTCATTTTTAACAATAAGCCACATTAAAAAAAAAAATTAAGGAATGGAACATTAGGAAGAAAATAAGAAACTTCTCCAGTCTGGCAGAAGGCTGGCAGTATATGCCCATGATATGTGGTGCTTCCTCTACAACCTCTGAGGGTGTCAGATTATACATCTAGCAGGAGAAACAGGAGCACACCATTCATACAAAATTAAATTTCTCTGTGAAAGCTGTTCTTTCTCAAGTCAGTGAAGCCAAAAGTTCAACACTGAAAGGAAGAAAACTAAAATAGAAGACAGTCTGGTGATTGTGAGAACTTGAGAACACAAGGTATAACTGAGATGGAACAGAACAAAAGGGGAACAGCAGCTCAGGGTGAAAAGAAAACAAAGGAGCAGAAGATCAGAAAGCAGCTGGGAAGGTCTGGGACACTGATGCATTGCCTCTTAATTACTTAATGTAACAGTGACTGATTAAACTGTATTCACTGCTACTGCCACTTTCCCTTTATAATTTACTATTTGAAATGCTACATCAGGCCACAGCAAACTCTGAACAAAGCCTGTAGTAGCAGCAGTCTTTACAACGTTTTTAAAAGTCATCTGCAAAGAAGAAAACAAGTAAAGCTGTACAGCCACACGTAGGCATAATGAAATGTTAGCCCTCTGTTTCAGCTTGCCATTCAGAGGTTAAGGTTCAAAGAACCACATAGGAAGAACTTGATATGGCCACTACCTTTTAACTAAGAGAAAACAATGCATTTACAAACACAAATGAATCATTATCCAAACAAATGTTTAGAACACTGCTCAGAAAAAGAAAAGATCAAAAAGGCAGCAGAGCTTGAAAAGGAATCTTGTTACATACTTAAATTTAACTCCATTCGAACAGTGAACACTTTAAAAATAATTACCTGATAAAGCAAAAAAACTTTCCAAACATCACTTTCGGCTAAAATTTTAAAATGCAGTACGATTCAGGGCATTTATACCACATACCCTCCCCTTCATAATGCCTTCATTCTGGTATTTAGCCTCATAAATCCGCTGTCCCTTTTTTAACTGGAATGAAGCACTGCCTAAGAGCAGCGTCCAACAGCAGCTGGCAACAGGTGAACCGAAACACTGGAGTTTGGGTCAAGAGGAACACTTTTTTTTACCATGTAAGTGTTAAATGCAGTCACACCTATGTCTTTTCCCGTACGGTAACGCTCATTTGGAATAGCAAAGGGATTTTTTCCTCCCGAGCAGCGCAAAGCCGGCATGTCCTCACAAGCCCGTGGCGGAGGATGGGGCAGGGCGCTGGAACAGCCCCGGCGCGCTGTGGCGCCCCCGGAGGCCCGGCGGCCGCGGCGGTGCCGGCCCTACCTGGGCGGGGTGGATGCCGAACGCCTCTCCGATGCGGGCGTACAGCTCGCGGGCGCTGCCGAAGCCCTCCACGCGGCCCGTGGGGCTGCCGTGCGCCAGCTGCGTGTGGAACTGCAGCCGCGACGCGCTGGCCGACGGCGCCGGGGCCGCCGCGGGGGCCGGCGCCGCCGCCTCGCTCTCCACCAGCTTGAAGGTCTCCTTGGACTTGTCCTTCTTCTTGCTCCTCAGCCCCAGCGGCATCTTCCGCGCCGGCCCCGGGCTCCTGCGGCCGCTGCCGCCCGCGCTGGACTCTGCCCCCGGCGCGGCGCGGCGCCGCCCCGGCCCNCCCGCCCGCCGAGGGCACGGAGCGCTGAGGGCCGGGAGCGCCCGGCCGCCGCTACCGCCGCCGGGCAGCTCCGGGCCATCGGCGCGGCCCTGCCTGCGCTCACGCCGCTCCTGCCACAGCGGGGTCCTTTACCCACCTTCCACTCACTCGTTCAGGAATTTCTGCTAATAGCGAAGTGCTGAATACCGGCTAGTGTAGATTTATATCGAGCGTATAAAAGAAAACCTGAAGTATACAGGGGCTTCAGGCAACTTTCATTTATCAGAATATAAATCTCTAAGGGTTCATAAAGCAACAGTAACATAACCTAAGTTTAAGAGACTTCCTATTGTACTGGACAACAGCTGTGAAATACTGAGATTTAACACAGAAAATATACTTTTCAAGTATTTGTAACATTTAATGAATCCAAAATGTTTCCTCTACTGTGAAATAGACATTGTAGTCAGAAGTTCACATTACAGGAGACATCTGTGCTCCAAAGTAACCACACTCACCTCAGTGGAACTGCTCCATTTTCAGTAGTGCACTGAATCCACCCAAGATGTGAAGAGTGAAAAATTCATGAGGCAACATTCAGCACTTCTAAAGGAAGCAGCACTGCCTTGCCACATCTTCTGACTTGCACAATAAAAAAGACAAACCATTGCAAAGAAAAAGGATTCTGGCACATGGAGTCAGACCAGGCAGGCAGAGACAATGAATTACTGTGAGGCAGCCCTGAGTCAGAAGTTCTTAGCACATCTAATCACAGCACCTCTGACTACATGAAATTACGTACAGATTTTAAACTGCTTATGCTGTGAGATAAAAAAGGTTTGAAGCCAATTTGACTTCAGCTTTTCCAAGATAGCATGTAGTAAATTTAAATGAATACTCAAAAATGGCTTTTATCCAGTTCTAGCAGGAGACAATTGGATTCAATACTGTTACTATTTTTGTAGGAATTTCCAACAAAACTGCACAATAAACTTGCCCCCACACTTTAATAGTTGACTGTCCAGTTCAGTTTGAAACCACAGAACTTAAATTGAAGGTTTCTCTGAAGCTGCAGAACTGTGTGTACTTTTTCCCATTACTGGAATGAAATTCAGACAGCATGTTGGCATTCACTGGATGACATTGCAGTGAGACAAAATAAGATATTAACAGTACAAAACTATTCATGTTGATCTTGGTATTTAGAGGGTTTTGCTGGTTTTCAATTTTAAATAAGCAACTTCTTTTAAAAGAAGCTTTTCCCATTTACTAAAATGTACTATGAAGGAACTATTGACATGTATTTATGTCGTCTTGACTCATTCCTTTTCTTGTGAAAAGATAATTGAATCTTACAACCAGAAAATACTGTTTATTAATAATTTTGTTAATGAGATTTACTAAATGGACACAGTCAAGTTTCCACATATACAGAAGTTGTGCAGATTTATTTAAAAAATAATTCATGGACATTAACAGTCCTAATTTAGGTATCTGTTGCAAAACTTTCTTCGGTGGAAGTGTGTTTCCATGCTTCATATGGAGGTGGATGGAGAAAAACAGGTGAAGCTGGTGCAAAAACTATGCTGAGCCTACCTACAGTTTGGAGCAATGGCATCAGCTTTTAACTAAGGCAAGAAAAAATGATGAGGCCAATAGAGCCGACCAAATAAACTGCAGATAGTATGGAGCATGTATATGCCATCATTAGTTACATGATGTAACAGGTGAAATGAAACCTTTTTTGTGACATTTAAATCAGAGGAAGATGACACTGCACACATGCCTATTTTCAAAACCCAAACCTAGAAATGCATGAAATTGCCATAGCAGTCCCTTGCTTTGGGAGGAAGGGTAAAGAAGTGTTCAACACTCAGTTTCATCTCTGTTACTGAAAAGGTACATTACCATGGACTTTTTTTTTCCTAATCTACAGGTGCTATTTATTAATATTGCTTAGCTCATGGATTAGCAGTTTCAATGATTTAGGCTCGATCAGTATAACACAATGCTGATTGCGTGGTTTATAGAGCTGTAAATAAGTCAGTCTGCTGAGAACTTCAATGAAAAGAAGGCTGCAATGGACAGAAGACACTTTCTCCAACTACAACAAATCCTATTTGCAGACTCCCTCGGATGTGGACCCTCTAAGGAAGCATCTGCCAACACTAATTAATGCACAGTAAAACTAGACCAACCAATCCAAATAAGCCTCCAGCAACTCAGGATACTAAGAACCCAAAAATTACTTCAAATTAACTTTTAGAAGAGAGTTACCAACTAAAATAAAACTTCTATTAGCCTTGATTTTAGAAAGAAAACTAAAGCATACGCTTGAAAAAAAGAAACATTTATTTAATCCTTTCATCCCAGGTATATTGCACACTACAGGCTACCCCACTCTTCAGTTTCTCACACATAATGCACTTGGGATGCAAGAACCGGTGGCATGAAACAACCACAAAGTTTGTGGAGAAGATACGTGGAACAAAGTCACCTTGCTTGCTGTGAAATGCCACTATCAGTGAGTGTTTCACTACACATGGGGTATATGTACCCTCACTCAGGGAAAGGAAATATGGTTATTTCAGGTGCTGGTTGGGTGGTGTTAGGGGTTTTTGAATGCAGGGCAGCAGGGCTGTGAACATGGCAGTTTGTCCTTGGTAAAGCAATCGGGCATGACTAACAAGATTGTTGTTTGTACAGCTCCTCCCTTGGGTAAGCCAGTAATGCCAGGGCAACAAGCACAGGGCACTTATACCTTCCACACCCAAGGGGATCAACAACAGATCTCTGTTTTCACTGTTTAAATAACAGAGCAATTAACTGGAGAAGCCTGAAGGAAACAAATCATGCCATCCAACAGTCTACTGCTGAGCAATCTGACACATGAAGAGCTGAGATTCTGCACCTCATTAAGAGATTTGTGCTGCTATTTGCACAGTTTGGGTGTTGAACAGTAAGTGGCTGTATGACACATTCCCTGGTTCTATAGGATGTGTTCAGTAAGCAATATAGTAAACTCTACTCATGTTAGCTGCAAAAGAGGACTAGCATTTACTGACTGTAAAAGTAAAACTGTCTCATAATTATATTTACAGTATCATGTTCATGGCCCTTATTTTTTAGGTCTAGCACATGAATTCAAGTGCACAGAACTTCACCCTAAGTTAGAGCAAATTTCACTGATTAAGGAAAACCTATTTGACCCCCAAAAAGTCTGCTTCTGGTGAGTCAGACTGACATATAAGGTGCACATACTAGAAAAGAATGGAGTACATTTGTTCAAAACACCACAAACAGGCTTCAGGAAGCTTTCAGCACAGCTACTACAGAAATGGAATGCTAACCCTCTTCATGACATCAGAAGCTGTGGAGCAAGCAGAGCAGAGTACCACTGCATGGCAAGAAGGAAAAAGGTTTGTAATGTAGCTTCACCTACTCTTTCAACAGCTTGAGGTTATCCTAAGGCTTGATGTTGGTGAGATTAAAAAAGGATCTTTAGAACCAGGTTTTCAGACTTGCTGGATGAATTCCAAAGCAATTAAATGACTTCTACTTTCTATGGCACCTAAGCAACCTTCAAGAGACCAAAAACCCATCCCAATTTCATGAATGACCATTTTATTTTAATGTATTTCGGTAGTTACAAATATAGTAGTTGACTGAATATTTGCTTCCTTCTCCCAAGTAGCTTTATTAAATAATCAAGTGGGTTTTAAAACATAGCTTTTAAGCACATTTTGATTAGAAAAATATTTTTTGTGAATCCTGGATTAGACAGATATTAATGCTTCCTCTCATATTTTGAAGTAATTCTACATGCTGGTTTCTGAAACATATACTTTTTATCTATCCATAAGAAAAGAAATACAAGCATTTATTTCATACCAGTTCTATAAGTTTTGTATTTTGAGCTTGAAAACAGTTGGAAAAGTTTAGTTTGCTATACACATATATATATATATATACACCTCTAAATACACAAGATACTGCAAATTCTCAATTTAACACTACTCCTCTTACCTGAAGATGGTTACAAAAAAATAGTCTTAGTTGCTGTAACATTTTTTTTTACAAGTTGGATATGGTTACAAGATCCTGTATTACAAAATGCTTGATTCCATTAGCTTTTAAATGGACAAATAGGTATTTTAGGTTGATATGCTTTAAAGTCATGTAGCTTGTAGCATTTGCCATCATAACAAAATAGAAGAGAAAGTTAAAAACCAACTTTACACTTTTTACTTAAAAACCACATAAGAAATGCAATACGGAACATACTGAAATGGAAATTTTTTTTCAACAAACAATATATAGTATTAACAATATGCAGAAGCACTAAGCAGCAATTTTTTTTCTTTGTAATACTGCTCCAGCAATTGTTTACTTCCTGTAGATTTAGGACTACAATTAACTGATACTGCATGAAGAGATCTGCAGTTGAAAAATTGACTTGAACAATACCCCACAGAAATTCTACTCTTTTAAGTAAAAGAAATGGGATTCTTCTTACAATCATGTAAAAATTATTGTAAATTAAATCCCAACTTCCATACGATTTACTTTTCTGCAGTCACATATACAACACTGCTATTTCCTAGGCTACCTAACAGAGCAGGTAACCTCTGTATCTCCACAGGCAAAAGGCTGACAGCAAATCTTGAAATATTTTGTTATGCAAAACAACAACAAAAAAAAACCCCAAACCCTTTGAAAGTGTTGTTAAAGCACTGTATTATGGTTTTTAAACTCAAGTAATAAAGCATGCCCACAAGGCATTTCTTCCACCAATCCATGCTGCAACCAAGGGAACCAGCCCTATTTCTGTATTACAAAACTAGACTATTACAGAGGGCTCTCCGTCGCTCTATGCACCTTTGAACTGTAAAGACAACTGACTCATATTTGAATTTTAAAAAACTCAATTCAAGCATACGAAAATTTCTGGGGAACCCCTATCCCACACTGACTCTTAAACAAACTTTGTTTAGCAACACAGCTAGCTAGCTCTTTTTTTTCTTCATGGGAGTAAAGTTTGGCCTTTGAAAATAATGAATACTTGAGATCAGCATGATCTTGAAATACCTGCCCTAGCCAAATGCTTTTACAGGGTTCTTTGTGCATCTTTCCAACCCAGCACAGACCTGCTCCGTAGGGAATTGTCACATGAGCACCAGCTAAGTCTCATTTACAGAACATGGCCCATAGCAAAAAATGCCAAGCCCAAGTTCAATGAATCCTTTTGCTTACAAGAAACCTCCTGGCATCATGTAGTCCAATACCCCTGGTCACACATGGTCAGCTGGAGCAGGCTGCCCTGCACATGTACAGTCAGGCTATGAGTATCCAGGGATAGCAACTCCTTAAACTCTCTAGGAAACTTGTTTCAGTGTTTGATCATCCTCTCAGTAAAAAGCTGTTTCCTTGTGTTCAGATGGAACCCCTAACTAACTTGCGTCCATTTAGTCCTGTCACTTAAAGCTACTGAGAAGAGGATGGCTCCTCCATCTTCATTCCCTCCTGCCAGGTGCCAAGATCACCCCCAAGTCTTTTCTTCCCCACAACCGCAAGTTGCAGCTCTCTCAGCCTCTCGTACATGCTCCTGTGCTAGAGCTGCTCCACTAAGTGTATATCCTTCAAGTACCAGGGAGTCCAGCACTCCAGATGGATCCTCATCAGTGATGAGTAACGAGGAAGGATTACCTCCCATCACCTGCTAGCAAAGCTTTGGCCTCTGTTGCCACAAGGTTGCATTGCCAGCTCAGTCAGTTTGCTGGTCAGTTACTCCTCAGTGGAGCATTCCCCCTTACTGAACTTGGTGAGAATCCTGTGTCCAGTTCTTCATCCTGTTGGGGCCCCTCTGAAAGGCAGTACCATCAGCTGGTGGCACTAGCTACTCCTCCCAGTTTATATGGATTGTAAACTCCAAGTACTCAGCCAGAGGGTACACCACTATTGAGTTGCCTCCAACTGGATTTTGTGCCACTGATTAAATCTCCTGTGCCCCCTCATTCAGCCACCTTTTAATCCATCTCACCTTCCACTTATCTAACCTGTACTTCACCAGTCTGTCTACTGATGTAAATGGTAAACACCACAGACTGTTCTCCCAGCATCCCCAAAGCTCATTGTAGATGGCAGTAGGACTGGTCAAGCAAGATTTCCCTGTTGTACATCTATGCTGACTACCCCAACCGCCTTTTAGAAATGCTTTCCAGGATTCTTTTCCATCACATTACCAAGGGCTTAGATGAGGCTGATTAGCCTGTAGATTCCCAAATCTTCCTTCTTGGTTTTCTTGAAGAATGGTATTTTCTCTTTTCTAGCCTCCTAGAACATCTCTTAATCTCCCTGGCCATTCCAAGATAAACAAGACTGGCCCTGCAATGGCATTAGCCAGCTCCCTCAACACTTGAGTGCAATCTGTCACTCACAGAATTCCAGGTAAAGTGCACCCTAACCCAATCCTTGACCACCAAGGTACCAGATTTCCCCACTAGTCTCAGAGGCCTGGAATTCCTGCATGCTCGTTTTACTGGCAGTGACTGATGCAAAGGCAGCACAGAGTACCTCAGCCTTCTCCACGCCATCGGTCACCAGCTTCCCTGCCCCATTTGACAGCAGGCTCATCTTTGCTGTTCATGTCCTTGAAGAACCCTTTCTTGCTATTCTGCCTGAAGGCTGAGGAACTATCCCACAGCAAATGGCTACTCTGGCTCCTCAGGCCACATGCCCTTTGCCACACTCACAATGCAGTCCTGAAACTTCTGGCTGCAATAAAGAGAAGGCTTTCATTGCACAGGGGGCTGGTCAGGAGTCCAAGCTGATTTTTCTGGCCTATGCTTTGTGCAGTGGAAGGCAACATACTGAAATGACCTCTCTCATGTGCTCTTTAAAATGTGTGTATCTACTACGATCTCAAATTTCTGTATAAATGTGTAATGTTATAGACACAGTGAAGATATAAGAAATAACGTACTTGGAGGCTCAAGTACTGTATCAGAAATATGCACTGACTTGGTAAAAAAAATTACTGTAATTATATTAAGCAAAATAACGACTAAACATTGCTGATTAGGAAGATGTAAAACAAAATGAGTGGTTTTCCCTGTAATTTTAACTGCAGAATTCACCTGTATGACTTTACTTAAACCCTTTTCTTCTCATGCAGCATTACAGTATTTTCCCCCCACCCATCCCACAAAACAAAAAAAACAAAGATTCCACTAGGTGTTACAGATTGCACTTTTAAAGCAGACTCGCCAGTCTTCTGCATTTCCAGTGTCCTATTTTAATCTGTTGACATACAGTCTCCCATTTTATGATACTGGAAGATTTCGCCTAAGTACTTCTTTTGATGCTGGAGAAATGTTATCTGGGAAAATTACTTCAAACTCTATAATTAAGTCTCCCCGTTGGTCAGGATTTTTGGGAAATGGCAAACCATATCCTATAATTCTTCTTCTCATCCCAGGCTTTACCACTTCATTGACTGTCATGGGTATGGTTCTTCCTTCTATCGTTGGCACATTGAAAGAGCTGCCACACAAAGCCTAAAGAAAGATTGTAATATGAGAAAAAGAAATTGGTCAGAACTTTTTTGTACCTGTATATGAATTTGGATTATTTAAAAGTGACTAGAATTTTAAATAGCATTTTTCCTATGCACGTCTCAGATGCCAAAATTTTAATACAATGTTCCTCTCTTAAAAAGAGAAAACTTTAATTTGTCATTGAATATTGCTGAATTTATGAATGTTACACAATGGCTACTGGAGGGTAATTGAGCTTCTGTGTCATTCAAAGACTTTATCAAATAGTAAGAGAGCTGAGCCAAGTGAACTCCTCATTCATACTTCTCTACAGATGTCAGTCTTCTAAATTTCCATTGGAAATTTAGAATCTTATTTCACTTTTTGTTTGTTTACATTGCACAGGAATTTTTTCCTATCAACCTCCATTATATTGAATTTCAGAATATTTAAGTGTCTATAAGCAGAGGCATATAAAATTTCACACCTATCTTATGTGAATATTTGTGGTGCCTAAAGAAATCCAAACAATATTTTTGCACCAAAACTAGAACGTTACAGACCTTCTGCTTTATCCAACAGTTTATTTTCATCTCTGAGAATAAGATTTTGATTCCTGCAACTTCATTTGATTCAGCACACTTAGTATACACTGATAATGTCCAATTTACATAACAATGCAATGAGTCCAAATAGGTTTTTATCTGTGAAGGAACTGTATTACCCACATTAAATATTGAAGCACTTTAGGTGCTACACCTCACTTCACACTTACTGTAGAATTCGTTAAGGTAGCTTAATTTACACAAAGTTCATAATGAAATCAAGTGTTTATTTCTCCACCTAATACTAATTAAGAAGAAAAGAATACATTACACACACAGAGCTACCATACAACTTTAGCCACTGTATCATACTGTAATAGCATCAAACATTTGGAGTTCTACCACAAGAGAAACTTACCTCCCTTAAGCTGATCTTTACAGGATAGACAATATTTGATCCATCTCTCTTGAAATGAGAGTGAGGTTTATCTTTAATGATAAAAACAATATCAGCTGGAATTGTGTTGGGTGTTTCATCGCCTTCTTTTGGAAAAGTGATCTTGGTGCCTTCTTTCCATCCTCTTTTTATCTCAATAGTAAGGATTTTGTCCTCTGTTCGGACGCTTCTACCATCTGGGTTAAGCCTTTTACGTGAAATCCTCATTCTTTTTGTGCAGCCATGATAGATCTCTTCCAGTGACACTTTAAGTTCATGGATTACAGGGGGATCTTGTTTACGACGTAACTGGCTGCCAACTGTATTCCTTTCCCTCGGAAAACCATTCATACTAAAACTAGTGAAGGATCCAAATGGATCACCATCCACCTCCATGTCTTCAGTGTCTCTGCCACCAGGCATCCTCCTCCCAAAGAAGATCTCAAAAGGATTTGTGCCACCAAAGAAAGCTGCAAATGTAGCGTGTGGGTCTCCATGGAAGGAGTACCGGAAGGTACCACCCTGGCCATCAGATCCTCCAGCTCCCCCTTTAAGGCCTAAATAAGAAAAATAAGGCAAGTTAAAACCAAATTGGGTATTAGTATAAGCCTTCCTTCTGTACAGTGTAATGATATCAGGACTGATGAGTCATAAAGATATTTACAGTAGAGTGAAAGGTCTGCTTTTCAAGGAGGATTCACCATGAGAATATGAGGTACTAACTAGCAATTTAACAGCTTGAACAGCAACAAGGTTTCTGAAGCTCTAGAGTGACTTCAGAAGAACAGGTATTCTGACACTGCCAATTTTATTTCATGTGACTGAAACCAGTTATTTTAATCAATTAGCATCTTAAGAGCACAAGACAGGTTTGCTTGATTTGATCTCTTCTTGCTCTGCAAAGCGTCTTGGGAATTCTATCCTTCTACAAGGTCATTTCTGGGGAAAATTACTCACTACCATACGCGACATATCCCATAGCCTCTACAGCTCAGCTGTAACTCAGTGTTAATTAGTTTTCCTGCAATTTGTTCTGAGTAAACGGTAACACGCCAACAGTCAAACACATACATGCTTCCTTAATATTCAATTTGGGATACTAAAATTATCACAGCTTGTGCTCCTGGGGTACAAAACAGGTACAAATCCTGGGAACTCTCTTCAATGCAGCCACAAATAAAAGCATCATGGAACTTACTAAGATCCATTTGGGTACAAAACCCCTCATATACACTATCACTGTCTCCATGCAAAAAATCAGAAGGTTCTCAATAGCTTTCTTCTATCTTTCACATGGAGAGATCTAAATTTCATTTCCTCCTGCCAAGAATTCTCACTGAAAATTCTCTTGTACTTCCTGTGTTCCCATTTCAAACCAAGGTAAAATCAATTTTTTACAATGCCTCTTTCCCAGTAAGTGATCAATTACTTCCTTGTAATAGTGCTCTTCTGCACTAACCATTGGTACTTTCTCAAACCATTGGAAGACTGAAAGTCTTCTTAAGATACATTTGTCTTAAAGTCTTAAACTTAAATGCTTAGTTTTTAAACTTTTTTTTTTTCAGTCTTAGACCAACTCAAAACTACAGCTGCTATCATACTTTTGTAACCACAGAAAAATGAAGGCTTACATTATGAGAGAGGCATTCTATAAATTTGAAAGAGGGGTTTGTAGGGGTTTTTTTTAGCTCAGTGTTCTCATGCATAACCTTAATGTTGGGTACCAACACTAACCAACTAAGACACTAGAGTGCTTTCCCCATTTCAATACCAGAGCAAAAGTACTTGAACTATAGCACATCCTTCTGACACACTATTGTTAATGCCAAATATGCAGATCAGGGGATTCAATCTGTGATAGCAGAAGGACACCTCCTGGAATAGCTGGCCAGAAGTAACTGAAGGTACATCCAGTTCCTGGCTGCAAAAACACTGAAGTTTCCCCCCTTCTCACAAATCCCAACCTTTTGCATTTCCATTAAAACACTCTTAGAAGAGCTTAGAGAGTAACTGAGGCACCAGGAGGTATTCCCACATTCAACATTTTAAAAGATCATACTCTGTATCGTTGCCCAAAATACTAAATACTGCTATTTAAGTGTCCTTCTTTATAATTGTAAAAATCATGGCCCCAAGCAAATAGTAATGAGCAGGCCTACTTGTCACAACGGAAGTAGTTATTATAAATGGAATTCCTGATACCATACACATTTATGGGAAGGGATGTTAATGACTTCCTCTGTTGCTCAATCATAAGACTGAAAGTCATGTCGGTCAAAAATTTAAAAAAAAAAAATCATCCTCTCCAGATAACCATTTTTGGATAAATGTGACATTTCTGAGGTCTCATTCTCTTGGCATGTTATCACTGTTTACAATTAAAGCTAAAAAATTGTTCTGGTATTTCATGACATCAGCCAAATTCTTTCCTCTCTAGGCACAAAGCCAAGGACAACTACAGGCTGGACACCTGGGCTTCTGCTCAGCACTGTTTTGCCTAGATCAAGCAGATTGCCCTTAAGCAAAAATTAAAGAAAAGAATACATGCCTTTTGAACTGCATCTCAGAAACTGCTCTGGCAAAGGAAGGCAGCAGTAAGAGATCACAGAAAGCTATTCATGGGTGACAGAAACTTTTCTGTTCAATAACTTTTTGCCTGTCAGGTATTTGGGGTTTGTACAAAACCCCATCAAATTAAGAAATAAAAACTTTACCAGCATTAAAGCCCAGCAATGCATTTCTTACTTAAAATCTCATGAACCGAACAAATACATTGTAAATACATTGTCTAAGGAGGAACACTACCATGTCTTCGTATGTTTACTTTGCTTCATTCAACATAATGAAAGTGACCAACCAAAGTATAACAGAGACATACATACCTTCCTCCCCAAACTGATCATAAATATCTCTCTTTTTGGGATCACTCAGCACTTCATAAGCTTCTGCGACCTCTTTGAATTTTTCTTCTGCATGGGGAGATTTGTTCTTATCTGGATGCCATTTCAGTGCTTGTTTTCTGTAAGCCTTTTTGATATCCTCGTCAGAAGCCCCTTTTTCAATTCCCAGGATAGAATAGTAATCTTTCCCCATCCTGAGTGTTGGAGGAATTCAGATTTTCCTTGCTGGAAAGAAAGCAGCGTCCAGCGTCTTAGCAAGGTGGCGATGCTAGAGAAGGAAAAATAAAAATCAAACTGTGAAATGAAACAGAGCTGCTACAAAACAACAAACTCTACGACACATTAAAGAAAGAGCAGACAGCTTGTCCGTATTTCATTCCTTCCCCGTGGCTCATTTATAAACGATTACACAGCGGGCACGGCAGACCCGCCCACCCCGGGGCCGTGTCTGCGCTCTTTCTAGAACGCCAGCAGCGGGCACGTCACTTCCCGCAGCTTTCGCTGTCCCGCGCGTGCGCGCCCGCAGCGCCCGAGCCCCGTCCGGCCGCAGGCGCGGAGTCAGCGCGGAGCCCGCACGGCGCCTGCGGCAGCGGGGCAGCACCCGGGCGGCTCGGAGCGCTCAGCTGCCCCAAGCGACACGCTGAAGCCCCTCTAGAGTAATTATAGCATTCTACTTCACCGTTTCTATAGAGACAGCTGTACATAATAACTCTTTTCCAAATATATCAACATGGAGCTGTACCCTTTCCAGCAAAGGCTATGAAGAATTTTACACTCATATCAACGACAAAGCTTCAGAAAGCAAAATTTCCTTCCTTTAAAAATAAAATTAAGCCACCCTCAACACAGCTGACCATAGCCATGTCAGCTACTAGCTACTATTAAGCAGTAAGAATGAATCTGAGCAAAAAAATACCACTTTGTTTACCACAACTCAAGCCACTAAATTAAAGCAGATCAAAATGTAAATCCTGTCTCAGCGTTCTTCTCTGGAATAGGAAATACCAAGATTATTATACAAGTATGGCAATATACCAAACAAATAGCTTTCATCTGATGAGATACTAATAACAGAAAAACAATTGGTTCTTACACATTTGTTTTAAAATACATAAAACGAATTCTACTACTGAAGTATTTCTCCTGCTCCATAGACAAAATGCTATGAAGTTTTAGCCTGCAAGATTTCTTCTGTACCTCTATTAACAGCTATAGGTCAAGAAATTAGTTACGTTTACCAGTAGGGCAATGAACTTCACGACAGATTAACACAACTGAAAAATTATTCCTCCCTGGAACAAAGTATTAAAATACAATACTTTTGGTCATATCTAGACGTTGTCTGTATGAAGACAATTCTAGGCTGAATTATGAAGGAGGTAATTAAGCTCAGCTGCCTTCCTTCTAACAATAAAACCCACTAATCCTCTGACTCAGGGAGCATTATATTTGAAGCCATTTTCTAGAACCTGCTCAAACTTACAAGAGACTGATAAGAAGGGACAGAAAATGCTTCCTTAACCAGAAATAACTAGAAAAATATTTGGGACTTTACTTTCATTTTCTTAACTTGCGTCATCCCCCTAATCCTCACACCATTATCTTTTCTTTTCCAATGTCTGCAATAGAATTTACTAGATTCCTTCCAGGGTATACAGGATTTTCCTAATTATTTATCTGGGGGTTTTTACATTCTCCTCAGAATATATGTGGAAAAGGTAAAGAGAGAAGAAAGTCAAAATTTCACAAGAGTATTCCAGAAAGCAAAACTTTCAGCATATAGGTAGTTATGATTACAAATGTGAAAGAGGCCAAAGGGTATTGAAAGAAGGAACTGGCTCCCCTTGCCACCAAATCTCTCAGGACTCACTTGCATTTCTGGCACAGTGGGAGTCACAGGGTTATAGACTCAATTACCTTTACATGTGAAGGAAGCAGTTGTTGCTGTGCTCTACCTAGAATAAAGCTAGTCTTTTACTAAATCACCCTTTTCTTTTTACCTTTCTTTTAGAAGTGCTCTTTTTGTTAATTTAAAATTAGTATTTCGGATAAATTCTTTGAAAACCACATCCTAAACTGAACATTTTCTCCACTAGGAATATTGTATTAAGCACTATGTCTCCTTTTAAGTATCACAGAAATACTCAAGGCACAGTGATAGATTTTCCACACACACATCCCCCCATTCTGTAACAACACAGTAATTCATTTTAAGGGTTTCACTAAAAGCCACAATAATCAGGATTTCTCCTTAAATAAAAAGTTTCTTTATCTTAATTATTAAAACTTACAGAACAAATTCTGATAACAACAAAAGTTACACTGGGACTTTTTGCCCAGTATCACAGCAACTAAGTGCTCAGGCATCCTTTCCTCCCTACAGAGGGGAACGTGCTATTCTGGCCCAAGTGCTGAGTTATACCATAATGATGTAAGTTATTCCCTAAAAATTAAACTACTTAAGGTTCTGAGTGGGATGTACAGCAATGACTACATTACTTCTACTTCCTGCATTATATGAGATCTTAATATCAGAATGAATTTATACTGTGGAATCTTGTATTTTTAATGAGTAAATTGCAGAAAGCATGTCCCTTCTTCTCCCTGTTGAGACCTTCCTTTCATCCCACAGAGACCTTTTGAAAATGAATACACATAGGCCACAGCTCCTCTCACATGCTTACTGAGCTCTTTAAACAGTTTCTAATAGACAGAGATACTCTCTTGAAAGCAGTAAAAACTTTCAATATTACAATTAAAAGACTAGTGTGCATAAAATGGATATCTAATAATTATGCTAATAATAATTTGAGTACATCCAATCATGCCAGCTCTTCTTCAGACAGTGAAATCCATCTGTTAAGTGTGGTAAGCTTTTCTCTTCCAATTCTGTCATACCAGAGCTGCTAGATTTTTAGAATCCAAATATCTGATATTTGCAGTTCTTTGCTGCTTTTTCTGTTATTTTGTCCCATATCAATTTCCAGAATTATTATCTAAAGAAAAGAAAGGAAAATCCTTCATGTACTCTCTCCATGTACTCTCTCTCTCTCATGTACTCTAAATAAGCACAGATAAACAGAAAACAAAACAGCCTTAAAAAACCACAAGTAAATATTTAGTTATACTGCTATAGTCCTATCTTCCCAGGTACTATATATCTCTAGAAAAACACACTTCTAGACAATGACAAGATTTCGCTTCCCATATGCTTGAATATCTTTTGTTTGATCGCCTGAGTAATTGTCCCCTAAAAACCCAGATAAGGTCATTACCTACTGTGTGACATAGGTACTCCTTTATGGGATTATTTTGTTCTTCTGTGAGCACTCTGCTTGTTAAATAAACAATTTTTTTTTTTTCACTTTCTCCAAGGAAAATCCTTTAGAACCTGTGAAAACCTGTGGTGGAAGAGTTGCTAAAACTCTTCTGAAGAGACACCCTTTCAAGATGTTCCCTCCTAAATTTGTCTCAAATGGGGACAAGTTTCTGCATTTCTACCTTGATGTCTTCCATCAGTATGCCCATTTCCCAGAATCCCCGCATTTCAGTCACCTCCTCTTTCAGAGACTGACACCTGGGGTCCAAGTCCCACAGGTACATGCAGTGTTGCACACCTGCCCTCGTAAGCGCTGGGATGTGAGCTCACCTTCCGCGGGAAGGAAGGGCGGCTGGGATTCGACAAGTCCCACAGGTACATGCAGTGTTGCACACCTGCCCTCGTAAGCGCGGCGCGCTGGGATTCGATGGGCTTTGCTTCGGCAGCAGCCAGAGCACACAGCCCCAGCGATCCCACAGAGCCACGGCTGCGACAAGCCAGCAGTACTGAGTCCTGCAACCCACTCAAACAACTAAACTACACGGCTAGAAAATCAGTAAGGCCATAATCCAAGACTTGATTAAGCATGCTTCTGTAAGAAAGCTAAGGAAATTCTCAGACGTACAAATCCAGTAACATACTTGGCCAGGAAGCCACCTCAAAAACACAACAGATAAAACCCCCTCACCATCACTTAACTTTCCTTCCTCACTCTACCACATTAATTCTCCAACTGATAGATCACATTATGACTCAATTAACTCTTTCTATCTTCAGTTCTTTGTTCTTCTCGTCTTCAAATACAACAGCTACATTCCATTTCAGGCATACACAGAAAAAAAGTTATCATCGTTCCAGTATCAAGTGCTATCTCTGAAGCTCTTAGTTATAGTCAACCCTGTAAAACAATTTTCCACCAAAACAGGCAGTCTCAGACATAACTTTCTGTTCTTATAAGCTACTTCAGGGTAATGTCATGGTACTCCTATTCTGTACTGAGAAAGTTACCAGCCTGTATTTGTCCAGTGCTTTTTTACATCAATGGTTTTTCTTACAGTATAAATTGAGGGGAAAAAAATTAAAAGGAATTTCAGTTCAAGCCTTTTAATGTTGACTGGGGTGGTGGTGGTGGGAGGAGGTACATTTTCAAATGTAACAAATTACAAAAATGCCAAAGAGACTATTAAAAAAATTTATTGTCAGGAAACTGAATAAAATTTTGAAAACATACAAAACTTGCCTAACATAAGCAATCTCTTACCTAGAAGTTTTTCTACTTCTTTGATCAAAACCTATGACATTCACTTTTAGTACCAGACTTCCTTTTTTTAACTAAAAATATGTATGAAATATATACTAAGAAGCTGAAAATTGTTCCTTCAACAGCTCCACTTTGGAGACAGAGTCTGACTACTGCATTTCACTGGAGAATTGTTGCTTTAAAATGTCTTTTCCATTGTTCTCTCAGAACAACTACAGTTTAACTCATATACATATGGCCAAAAATTATACAACTGGTTTGGCAGAAAGTGGGAGCAGGGTCATACAAACAGTTGTGCTGACAACATCAGCTTTGAATCAGCTGTTTTTTTTAAAAAAGCCTTCAAAACAAGTGAGAGAAATTATGAAAGCATTCGTAATAACATACTGAACTCAAATTAAAGATTAATCATAAATAAGGACCAGTATGTTAAGGAAAAGCTTCTAGGCAGAACAATGTCAATATTCCCTGAAGTTGAATAAAAATACTCATTATTTGCTTTAAAATAAGCCATTTCTTCCGCACTTCTCATTTAATAAACCATAGAAACAAAACTGAGAAAGACAGGACTAGATCACAGAACAAATCTAAGAGCAAACAAAACCACAAAGGCAAATTCCAGACAGATCACAACTATAAATACACATGTGCATATAAATGTCAAGGCACAGGAGCCAAATCCCTCCCC